ATTATCTGGCAAACGAGAATTAAAAAATAAAACGTTCGTAGCACCGAAAATAATGAAAGGTGATGGTGGTGGTGGTGACCATTTACCATTGTTTTTCGCGCGGGAACACAGGGCTGCGTGTTCTAAGCACGCGTACTCGCGTGACGAACGGGTGTGCGTGTGAACTTACGCGCTCGATTCCTCTCTTTTCGACCCACTCGATTCCCTAATAGCCCCTCTCTTTCTTTCTCAATAAACGCGTGTACCAGCGTTAATGTTTGCAGTCACAAGTTGGTAAGTTTTGTGATGGCAACCCCGAACGACTAGTTACCCTGGTAACGCTTTGTTGTGCCGTTGTGTCGAACCCATTCACGGTGGAGGGAGGGGAAGAGAAATCAAGCCTCCCATGCCAATTCCACCCTCTCGTCGTCCTGCACGCGTGCACCCTCTACCTGAAGTCGATCTAACCCGGCTTGACCTAGCCCAAACTAGCTGCTTTACACCCCCCCTGTCGTCCTACCGTTCAGAGAACCCGGTCAGAAACTATGGGTTTGTAGGATATAGCAAAATGTACATATTTCGGTGGAATTGCTGGTCAGTACAAGCCGGAGTACCGTACAACGACAGTTGGGACCCAAAAGATTGCACAGTGGCAAAGTTCCAATAGCTATTGAATAGCTGGACTGTAGAAATTCAAATTAGAATTACCTGTAACAAGTAACTGAACAAAAGACCTATAAAATAACAAAGGCTTCCGTATCGCGAGGTCTGGCTATGTTTAACGTCCTAACCACCCATAGCCAACGAATAGGACCCACAGGGTCGCAGAGTAATAAAATTACAATGCGAAAGTGACAAAGCTCCCATGGCAAGCTTAGTTTCAGCCATGTAATAAACTGCGATCTGAAGTTCGCTAAACAGGTCTGCATATCCCTAGGAACTGGTTACTAGTTCGATTCGACTGGATGGTCGAATTATGAATGATGTCTGAGTGCTATGGGACTGACCCCGAGGAGGTCATGTTTGCGGATGAAAGAATGGATGAGAGAAAAGTGGTCCAAAGAAGCTCGACAACGGTGCTGAATGCATCGATGGCATTTTAAATGGAAATCCATGAAAATTGAACGATGGAATGTGAAACTTTTACGATCGTTCCTTCAGAGGAACTTGTTCATTCGCGAAGGTGTTATAACGAACTATTATACACTATATGGTGGGTATCTCTAGGAGCAGAGGTTTAATTAGAAGTTATTACGTAAGATTCTTGATCACGAACGACCCTCGACTACACGTCGCTATAGTAACCCCTAGAATCCTAGGGATTGATGAATATGCTATAAGAAGGCAGTAATTTAGAACACAGAGGCTGTTTCAAGCTTTAACGAACTTGGAAAATATGCAAAATCAGTCGACAATAAGGAATTGTAGCTGGGTAATAAATTCGAAATTAATGAAACACCATTCAGACGAAATTAATTAGCTGATGATACACGTGCCAGCTAATGGAACTGAATAACACAATGGAGGGATCCAGTAACATAATCGACTATTTAAGACAGTCACTGGTTAACGATTCAAGGAAAATAGTAATACATAGAGTAGAAGTTCACGGTGGAATGATTAACACGAAGGACAAGGAAAATCTCACTGATGAACACATGGGATAGAGTTTGATAATGAACAAACATAATTATGGGAAATTAATGATCCCGTAATTGACTTGCAACTATCTGATGGCTCGATGTTATTAGAACTTAAACCAATTACTTAATGGAAATATATCATTGTTCGTTAATTAGCACTAGACACAGTGTCGTTAATAGAATATTAATTAAAATAAGAAAATGATTAATTCTATCCCAAGGAATTTGAAAAAATCTGTGATCTTACCTAAAATTTCTGAAGGTCAGATTTGACCCGGTTAAAATTATTTTCAAATATTCTGTTATTTGTAAATGTGAGCTTCCAGAAAATTGTTGAGTAGGTGAACATCGCAAATTGATAAATTATCTTAATTAAAGTATACTCAATTTCCAACAAAATATACTCAACAATTGTTCCGAACAATTCAAAAATATTATCTTACTCCAAATCGATAAGGAAGAGGCTCGGCTTTATGGGCGTATACATACTCACATCTATATCAATTCTGGAAATATTACAAAATCTATACTGCGAAATTTTTAATCCATCTAATTAAATGTAATCATTGAACAAATAAAATAAGGAATGTGATCTATCAAGCGAATAGATAAGTCTATCAAATTTCATGTCGCCACCTATTCACGGGAGTATTAAAAACGGAGCAGAAGTTGCTAAAAGTATTTTTTATATTACTAAAACCATGCCTGCTTAATTGTTATTTAAAACCGGTAAGAAAAATTAATAACTAAAGTTAAATTCGATCAAGATGATTTCCTATAGAGTCACAGATATTAATCGTGTCGTCATACCCAGGGAAGGTCACATTTGTAAATACGTAAAAACATTAATACCCGACCTTACTGAATAATATCGCTTTCAAATCATAGAGGGAGTATGTATATTTCGTCGCAAAAACTGCTTACGAACGATTTAATTCCGTAATACGGTTTACACGCAATATATTGATCGCATAACGCGTATGAGCCTAGAATCATTTTATCGTGTTGTGAAAGCATCCTCCAGCTGCTAATCGCGACTCGTATATTATCTGACGACAATACGAAATAGTTTTACGACGAACATAAAAATATTATGCAAGTAAACACGTGATACGCAGAACCATTGTATCATTTGTTGCGGAGCATTTTTTTATTAGATATATATCGCCTCGTGTAATAAGTTAGATAACTCGAGAAAAAAAATTTCATTGTGATTCGAATTACAGGATAAAAATTTATAGAAAATATCTGAAGTAATATTAAATCAAATAAAAACGCGTTCGGTATCGTCCGTTATACGCACGCATACCGGGTGACTAATACTTAAAACGGTATGTAAATGTGTTCTTATCGAGCAAGATAACGAACGTAAAAATATCGATGCTCCATTTCATTGCGTGCAGTCGATGTGTCGTTTGGACGACACAGAAAATTGATCGAATAAAACCGGTACCCGTATACCGCGTGCACGCGTATCAACGCTGGCAGAAAATACACAAATTCTCAGAGACAAACTGTACGCCTGGATGCATGGCTGAAATTATTGACTTAGCCGATCGGATATGACCGTCGAAAAATTCACGGCGTAGCGTCGCCGCTGGAAAAACAGCGAACTCGTTACCACGTTTAATGTATATAACCTCAATGATTGATCGTCGCCTTTGAATAGATTTTGTTGTGAATAAATCATAGACGGGTCGAAATGTATTGAAAATTTAGTAAAAAAAGAATTAAATTATCGCCAGACGGCTTGACCACGCGCACGAAAGAGGGCTGACTCGGCGCGCGAGGGTCAGAAACTAACCCCCAAAAATGTATACGTCGTTGGATCAGAGTAAAACCACTTTGCCAGCGTAAATGCGCAATGCACACGAAACACATGCACGGAATCGAAATCGTGTTAGAATATAATAAGATTTTCAACTTACCGAATGCGTGGAAGAACTCCAGAACACCGTAAACTGGACCAATTCTCACTTACAAACACGAAACTTAACAGCAATCACAGTACAATGGCGTACAGCAGGTGCGTAGCGAAGACTGAGCTAATGCTCTTGCCATCTACCGTACCTTTCCGGAAGTAGCCGGCACAAAGGACATCCCTGATTGGTCGAGTCCAGCCAATGGGAGAGCGAGCGTCATTTACGCGGGAATGCTAGGCGCGCAGGCAGCCATATTGGTTTTCCATTCGAAGTGTTCACTGAAAATAACAAAATGGATTATGAAAATGAAAATACTAATGAATCATATCAGTATTATGAATTAGATGAACAAATGAAAGACGTAAAATCAAAATTATTAGAATGCCAATCAAAATGCGAGGATACAATAATAGAAATGTGTAATGTTAGTCAATTAAAAGATAAAGGAACATTTGTACTAAAAGACGTTGTCAGAAAATACAACGATCTCGATAAAGAATTATACCAGATTCATTGCAATTATATAAAATGCGCAGAAAAGATAGATTCTCATGAAGAATACATTATTCGAAAGATTAAAACTTTAACATTACAAAGAGATAACTTAAAAGAAGAATTGTCAGAATTGAAAAGAAAAGCAGATGAAAATGACAAGATATTAACGGAAATAAGAAAAATGATCACAATTCAAGAAGTACTTAATTCTTCTTTTAATATTATTACTGGTCAAAGTTTTACATCATTTTTTTTTCAGAAAAAGAATACGGCACTAATACGAAAGTTAAGGAAACAGGTGGAAAATATGCACATTTCACCAAATTTGGAAGGAAAAGTAAATACAATCCTCAATGATCCTAGAGTTACTAATACGAAAATTTCTAAGCAATAAATCATATGACACAATACACTAATATTACTTGTTTATATTAATACGATTTGAACTTATAAAATATCACAATTATTTAATAAAAATCAAAGTAAAGATCACTCTGTAGAAGTTGAACTCATTTAAAAGTACTTAACATTTACAATTTGTCCATATTACTATTCTCGATTTAATAACGTTAAACTCTTTCTTAAACTTTCCAGCCTTGTTTCCAGCATATTTATTGTAATCGGTGATTTGTTTAAAGACTGTGTTATATTCTCATTTATAGCAATTATTTTCGATCGTTTCGCTGAAATTTTTTCCATTAAATTTGCGTTTTCGTCTTCCAATTCAATTACTCGTTTCTCGAGCTGTTCGCTGTGTTTTTTAATTTTATGTGCGTCCAAAGATCTTAAATGTAAAGATACATTTCCTGGCGGTCTCCTGCAATGAACATAATAAACGTATTATAAATCATAATTAACAAAACAATAATTCAGTATACATAGATAAATATCGTCACTTACCAAGCATCTTCGGTAACCGAAGAATTTGCGTCCGCTAGTTTCGCAACTTTACTTAATCCTTCCTGTACACTACCATCGTTGAATATATCATCCAAATCAGAAGTCATATTATCATTAAGTTCCTTCACGAGTGCTTTGTATAACTTTCGTGAAATTTTCGGTTTCGGTTTTAGGATCGTAAGAATCTCCGAAAATTCATCGTTACTAAAAAAAAAAAAAAAACATGGAATTAGTAAAACGATTTGAAATACATAGAGTATGAAGATGGTAGTGACGTGTTTACAATGTGTCAATTATCCTCTGTTACGACTATTAATGGTGACTCAATTAACATAATTGCGACCGCTTAGAGGCAGAAACACCCGGGTACAATTGACGTTGAGAGCATCTCGCTCACTTTTCCTATATTATTTCATAATCAATTTCATTGCCGTGAGATCGATGCACGGTAAAACGAAAGCATGCGTGCACGAGCGTTCAATTTCACGCACGTTAACTCGAGCGAAAAACATTCCTAATCTACCAACACCTGGCCAGATAAATACGTTGTTCCGCGAATGATGCACGTTCAACAATCGCTGCGCATGCGCTTTGGCTCTGCCGCCTCTATCGGCGGGATCAAATTTTTCTTTGTTTACCGTGCACAAAGGGGCTCGGCACAACCTGAATGGGGAAAGAACCAGTATCCAGGCAACCGAATCCAGTTTTATAGTATTATAACAAGCGTACAATAGCGGGACGTAATAGCGTTACACAATCTTCTAAAGTCTTTTCGCGCATCAATGACTAATAAGTATAGGCAATCTTCTCGCAATTATAGCGGACAGTTTTTATTCGTTTGCATACATCGCTACGATTCCTAGTAAGTTATACAATATGGATTACAAAAGCTTGGCAGGAGTAAGGAATGAATGAAGTGTTACACAAGAGTGTTTAAAATCAAACAATTGTATTGGGTGATCAAGAAATGACTGTACTACCTTTTTTATAATATTTAAACAGAATCGTTCTAATAAACAAAAAGAAAGCTGTATAATTGCTCTTTGATCATCGATACAATAATCTAGATTAATGTACTGAGTATATATAACACATTGTATTTCCCATGGGAAGCAGATGAAATTAACCAAGACGAACGACCACACCTTCGATTCTTCTTCCGTTGTTTCACGCGTACTCAATCAGGCCGGGACTGGTGCAATTTGATATCAACGCTACATATTTGCATTAGTCCAGACCTAGTTGAATACGCTTTTCCCGTCTTCCGTATCCCGTTTTCCTTCCGCGTTGTGCATCCTGGATCTCCTCGCGATCTACTGCGAGAACATAAAACGAAACATTGTTACGTTAACTCCCACTTAGATGAGATCATCGGAAAATAAATATATGTTACCGTACATTTACCGGTCTCGTAACAAGAAAAAGTCTCATGATCGTTGAACGCGTATGCAGATTTTAAACAGAGGATAGACGACACAAGAACGTTCCTCGTGGGACGCGCGTTAGTCACTGAATTATTCTAAGTGAGAATATAACGGACGAGCAGAGCCACGCACGATCCCCGTGACACGCACCGCACGAATGATGGAGCCCGAACGACGGTGACCGCACCAGGGGCCCTTTGTTTCCTCGAACACTTCGTGGAATTCTTCGAAGGTCAACTGGTGTGTTGGGTTTCAAAGAGTGGCAGGTTTCTGGGAAACGGAAGCTAAAGCAGGGACCGATTTCGAGGATTCGGCTACTAAATAGGAACTTGCCAAGCCGTGTCAAGCAATAGGAGCCAATTGCTCGGGACACGTGAACATAAGACGGATTAACATACGAGTCACAAAGGCCAATGACATCGAGTAACATCGTTGTCGGTTTGGGTCGTTGGCGACCCGATCCCTTCCACTCTACCTTGCCAGCAGTTTGCTGTCGATACACCCGAAACATCGGGACCTCTAAAATGTATTTACAACACGTTCGAAGGCTGTAACCGGTGGGTATCGGCATATTCCCGCTACCCCTCGGGCTTTCTTAATTAAAGCGGTATTCTTGACCGCGACTTATACTTGACACACTTACTGTTGGTAGTACTGTTATGGTGCGAACGTACGCAAGCATAACCTGAAATTTAGCAGCATCTTGGCCGTGTGAATTATTCAACGAGCAAAACAGGCTTTATTTATATATTGCGTCTGTTTACTAGATCTTAACTTCCAGTTTCTGATTACTGTTTGGTCTAAGGTCTTTACAGATATGAACCCTGTATCATGCTCTTTAAATGTATTAATCTATACAAATTTCAAAATTTACCTGGCACATTAATTTAATGCGCATGCGTTTGGTAATATAAAAAAACCGCGAGCAACTTTGTCACATGCGATACACTTTATAACCTCTAAAAATTTGGTCCTGACAACTACATTGATAAGAGTATATTGTATATGGATTATGACAAATGGTATTTCCATATATTCCACAATGTTTATCAGAGACTATGTTACTCAATTGATAGCATTACTCACCTCACAGATTCCGCAATGTGTTTAAAAATATTTGCAATAGCCAGCCGAAACAGAAGAACATTATTCGGATGCTTGTTCTCTGGATCTTCTTCCATTCTTGATCGAGGTACACGTAATTACTGAGTCTTCGAATTTCAGTAACCGAATACTTCAACGAAAGCTGGACATAACGGTTCTTGCACTCTATACACAACTCTAACTTCCACTTTCGCGTCTCGGAACTGTTGGGAATAATTCAAATCGTTTAAAAGTATGTCGGGAACTTCATGGTAGTTTAAAACGCCACCAGTAGATGGTACTACTAGGTCCCAAACGCCGCTGTGATTTATTGAACATCCTGATATTAGAATTCAAAATGAAATTCTTTACCGTCAGCAGCCTAACAGAATTAGAAAAAATGATTATTAATTATTAAACTATGTATCAAGTACAGATAATGAACTTTGGGATCAACACCAAGTCAAATTTTTACTTTAAACGCCATGCCTTAAAAATGTGATTATGTAATAACGTTTTAGGAATTATCTAATTAAAGAGAAAACTACTTCACACAGGAGGTATGAACAGGAAAACTATATAATAACAGAAACGGAATTAAAGATACGTAGCTTGAAATGAAAACAAATGCTGCGACTGATCTTGCGATAACTTACTTCGGTATCTAATTAACATTCTTCTCACATTACATGGAAACTCAACTCGTGTATTCTATGTCATTACTAATTAGTTGTTGTATCAATTAGTGGCTGCGTTTAAAATGAAATCTTCCAATGGTGTGAAAAATTATTCCTCGTAATCGGAAACTAAATACGACCAGTTTTTAATCGTGTTACTTCCGTTTGAAGTAACATCAATGGCTCTTAATCGATCTAAGAGTATTATAAAAAAAATACTGCATCATATTCCTTTAGAAATCATACTCCACATCTCGCATCGCAGGTTGCGCGAATCTGATCTACAGTTCAAGGAATCTGCCCTTATATTCCCTGGAGTCCAAGGCGAACAGGTCGAGTCCGGGTGCCGTGGTTCACAGTCTAGTAGACTAGAAATTGGATCGTAGCTCGGGGCTGATCCAGAGTGTACAGGATCGTTCCGACAGCTGCACCCCTACCCTCGAAGAACACGGTTCTCGCGAACAGTCTTCGCCTGCAGCTTCAAAGGTCACTGCTGACGGTGGAAGAAGGGACGCTCGCCGTTACCGTAGATTCTCAAAGTAGCTCATGTCGAACTGAACCGACGCGATGCGCCTCCGTTCTATTATGCAACCGGCCTGAACTATATTTTCTTCCCCGAGTCGATCTCGCTAGCGAGGAGAAGGCACTTACCGCTACCGTGAGGCACCCATTCACTCGGTCTCCATCGATCCTCTTAAATCGACATGTTCAACGTACTAGTTCCGATCGCATTGAACGCGATCACGTTGATCCCGGATCGAAGTGTCGCGATCCATATTCGAATTCCAACGATTAGCGTTCCATCGGGGACGTTTAACAAGAGACGAGAGTTAGCCAATGTTTCTTTGTTCTCTACCCTTCTTCTGTCAGCTCGTAGCCCGCGGCGTACTGCAAAAGGAGAAATGTATAAATTTTACACGTTAACCTGAAAGCCAAGCGATTATCCTGGCGATGGTGCGGTTAATATATCCCGGATGAAAGTACCGTCATGTATTTAGGAATTCCAATGGACGAGAATCCTCTGTCAGTTGCATCAGGCTGCATAGAATTGCACGAAGATTCGCTTCGACGCGCGAACGTAGCACCTCTTCGTCGTCCTCCTTGTTATCATCGTCAGCGTCCACGTGGTTGCGTCAGGGCAAATACAAGAACCGCCGAGACCACAGACTTGTTTCATTTTTTTTTTTTTTTCAATTTTTCCCTTTCGTCGACCTCCGGTGTGTCGGTTCTTTCGAAACGCTGCCACGATCATCATCCATACAGCGAGATCGTAACAAAGAAAGCAAAGCAGTAGCCCAGCTACTGATTGGAGGGAGGGATTATGCGTACAGTACTTCTGTTCGAGATCATTATTCAATAACGACGTGTGAGCCGAGGCTTCCGCGATTCATTCGTGTCGTATTCACCTGGAATTTGTACCAAGGAGAAAGTTGATTGGAATTGTCGTTTGATTATTCTGATTACGGGAATACCCGTCGCGCCACCAAGAGGCAGAAATTTACGCGTATACGTAATAATATACCAGGTATATAACGGCAATTAGCCGGGTTGTTAGACCCGTACGAGAGTGTTTCTTAATCCTTTAAAGCTCGACCTCTTCTGCCTGAACGAGTTAGAACATCTCTCTTCCCTGTGGTGGATCGAAATATCAAGAGAACATCGAGTTCCTGAAAAATAAGATCAAACTTAAAATCACGGATTTATATCATGCAGAAAATACATAAAATAATAGGATAATTGCAACGTCACGAACTCCTTTCTTTACATGCTTCTCAGCATCCAAGGTAAAACCGTAGTAGATCCGGATGATACCCAAGAGCTCAGATTCCCAGCCTATGGGTCGCGACCCCTAAGGAGGTCGCGAAGCATTTTCTGGGAAATCACATTTTCGCTCTACGTTAGAATATTTTAACTAGTGGTTGACTATTAGAAAAGGGGGGTCGCACCTTGGAAAACGTTGGGAAACAAGAGATCTGAAGAGTTCACGGATAAGGGAGCAGCTTATTTCCGCAAAATATCACAGCTCCTTATTAGGCAGTTACCGCGAAGATCAGGTGTCTGGGTTTAGAACATTGCAATGGGACATTGTAGTCGCTTATTAGTCGGTGCGCGATCCTTTTTTGGTGACAGCGCCCACTACCTAGGTGATCCGACGAGCATCGAGAGGATGGAGCTACTTCTCGACGAACCGTACTTTTGCCGATGAACCTCACCTCTGGCATAACACGAGCAGCAAGATAGATGAATGCGCGGATAGCACGCCAAAGGGCTGGGTCTTCTCAAAGCGTATCGGCGTGTTCGGTGACTCGATCCGTTTAGAAAGCATCCCAAGTCCTATCCTCTCCGGTTGGTATACATTGTCTCGAACGTTCGCGGTATCCTATTATCGAGCTATGGCTCACGATCGCCCCGTTTTTTGCGCAGGCCGCACCCCTGCATCGGCTAATTCGAATGGCTCGCAGCGAACCGATCCTATCGATCATCGAATCACGCTGATTTTCTGTATCTTGTCCAACGTTTCAGCTCGATTCCTGGAGTCCCGCTGTCTGATCTGTTTCAGAGATCCAACGGCGTTACCGGCAGAATCTATTACTGGCGATGCTTAGATAAGACTATTCCAGGCCACGGTGTCAAATGGTACCAGCGATTAACCTGAAGTTGAAGAGTTTAGTAAGTGACTATAAGTGGCAAGGATAGGGTCGTTCAGTCTTTGTATCAGTTTCCCAGAGAAATCTCAAATCGGTTTGCGTGTCGAAATCCGGCGAAGTTGGTGGAATAAACAGATGAATGAGAAGTGCATTGTGGGAAAGAGCAGAGTGTGATTTATTAGTCATTTTTTATAAGACTTATTTTATGTATTACCATTTTGGGAGTGGTTGTAACCAAGATCATCATCGGCTGAGATAATTCATGAGAGGTCATAAATCGATTTTAGAATTTAAAGAGTTTACATAACCGAGAGGAGCGTTCCAAGATAACTCGTTCGGGGGAGTGAGATGGATTACCTCATCGATTCAGGAACTTTCTTCCAGAAACAGTTATTATGTGCCTCATAAGAAGAAAGTATGACCGATTACATAAGACATTTCACTCACCCTTTAGGCGGTATTCGAGCTACAACGTCATGCCGATTGTATTGGGATTCGATCGATGGATTCTGGTAGACTGGAAACTATCAATCTCATGGATGTGCACGCAAAACTCTTGCGAGCTTTTATTTCATTCTCGCGTACATCTCCTTACGTATGATTCTCTTTTATACAGTGTCATTACGTACAGAGAAATCAACCATTCTCACGGGAAGCAATCATATTTTCTAATACATATTTCTCATATGTAGCGAAGCATCAATCACGGTTCTTCAGAGGTACTGAAGTAATATTATATTAAACTTCAAAAGCAAAAAGTTCTTCTGCTTCCCAATAATATCTCACCCCGTTGTGTATCAATGAGCGTTGCCCAATACAGTCAATTTCTCTATAAAACATGATAAAAATAAAGTCTGTCTCAAAGGGTTAATAGAATGCCGTAGCACTCTCTATAGAGCAAAGAAAAAAGGTCTCTCCTCCTAAGTTCCAATCCAACCCGGTAAAAGTGAACAGTCTGAATAAGGAACTGAACTGTTCGCGCCAATCAACCACGAGGCAAAATCGAAGAGACGTGAACGAGAGAGGTAAAAGATGGTTATTGGGAAGCGATCACGTCGAAGGCGTCTGCCTCGGAGCGTGAGTACGGTGACCTAAGGGGGATCGTTAAAGCGGGCAAGTTACGTGCCGATCGGTAACACTAGAGACGATTTGGAGCGGCATCTTCTGTACGTACACGTTCGCACACCTACGAACATTACGTACCATCGGTACGGTTGATGCGCAACGCACCAAGTTGCGCAATATTCGTGCACGGTTGCGGAGCATGCGTTGCTCTCTATAAACCAACCCATCTATCGTGGATGATGATGACGCTACGCGACCCCGTCCGACGCGGGATGTCAGAGGCGAAATAAGCGATATAATTACAAAGAGAAACGTAATGTACGCATCTTAAATCGTTCCTTACGTCGCAATCTTCCATATCAGAAGATGCCGCTCATCCCCGTAGCGTACCTCTACTCTCGATCCTTTTTCAACTAGAACAGATGCCTCGCGTAACCTCTCTTTTTTTCTTCAAGACATCGCTGTCGTCCCTTCGCCGGTCTATATGCCTCTTATACACACGAACATCGATTCACTTTCATGTCGACCCGATTAGTCGACCTTCAGGTCCAACCGACGAGAGATGCCCGCCGATCTGTATCACCTAACTTGCGCAATCACCCCTCATCGTTCGTCTTTCACCGTAGCTCATCTTCAACCGCCCTCTCCCTCGATACTTCCTTCTTACTCTTACCATCGTTACTGTTCGCTTTTTCTTTGTTACTCCATCGTTAACCGAGTTCGCGAACTTCGCCGAGGGACGCGGCACCGGGTGTTCACCAGAGTCGATGCCGTTTCTAAGTCTTCCCCTCGTAGCTGGGTGGGAGGAAGACGATCCTCGGCCACGGATCGGTATATAAGCACGGTTGCTTCGACCTGAATCTGCACAGACCAATTATTGCCATCGTTTGGTGATACAACGTCAACTCTGTGCAACGGGTATCGTCCGGGGAGGCTCGATTTTCACAAAGATCAAATCATTTGTCAGCGAGATGAGATCGGTACGACTCACACAATACATCCGCTTTCCCGCGACAGGTGGCGTCATTGACGTAATTAGGATTTTTCTCGGGAACGGGCCTGGTCCAACTAGCTTTCCTAAAAAGTGTCAAGTGTTACTAGTGTTACTGCATTCTAACATAGTTTTTATTCATATTTCAAATAATAGGAACGTTTGTACTTAGTTGCATTGAACATGGCATTTTGGACCAAATATTTATTTGTACTCAGATAAGATTTTTACTTACTGCAATAATTTCTGGTAGAAAAGCCAGATCAAAGTGAATCTGGTCCTTACTTGGTTCATTCCCGGTGAATCTCTGCGATTTACTGATAGAACCCAATGATACCAAACATGTGCGCGGGAAATCAGTGGGAGTCCATTTTGAACTTTGATAACCTAAAAATATTTTCGATTTCTCTTGACAGATTGCTTACGTACTATTTTTAACATGCATGTTTCGACAATATTAAAAATCATTCGATAAATAAACTTACAAACGCAATTTTAACAGCTCGCTGTCGCGCTACTAGTAGTCGGTACCTGTTACGCGGCCCGACTGGAGAACACTTACCTTCCTCCGGGTAATGCGGGTACCGCGGGAGGTGCAGGCTTGATTCAAGCACCAAATCGAGGAGGTCCTGGTGGTCCTGGAGGTCCCGGAGGACCCGGTAGACCAGGAGGGCCAGGTGGACCAGGCAGTTATGGCGGCAGTGGCGGAGGGGGTGGCGCGTTCGGCGGTGGCGGCGGCGGAAGTGGCGCATACGGAGGTGGTGGCGGCGGTGGATTTGGAGGACGTAAGTACCTAATTGAATTTTAATTAAAAAAATTAATTATTCAATACATTGAATTAAAAATATAACTCGAATACTGAAAGACTACTTTAGTCATTTATATCGAACGAATCCATTGATCGAATTTTCAAATTTGAATTGAAAAGAGTGACATTCTATTACGTAACTGTTTGAAGATCGTTTATAGAAAGCCATTAATATTAATTTCCTCGTGATAAATTACTATAATTTGCGTAAACGATGCAAGTCGATTATCCTTCATAATGTATGTAGTAATAACGGAGTGACCACGTATCATACGTGCCGACATTAAAGTTTATCAGAAGCAATATTACATTTCATAGAGAAGAGATGAATTTCTCTCTGTTCACTCCAGTATACATCGTTTCTGTAAACCCATAAATGACACGATTTCATCACATCGCGTGTTAGAAAAAGTGCAACATACATCAAGACGTCCACGCATTAGATCGCGAAATGAAATTACACTGTTTTTTACCACGCTAAGAGGGAGAGAAATCGCGTGATGGGAGATTCATGTTTGACTTGCACTGAAATACAGGTTGTCCCTAAACTGGCGCGGAAAGTATTCTGCGTGCAAAATACGATTGCAAAACATATATGATTAATGTTTGCAAAACAGCAAAATATATTCAAAATCGTTTCTTTGATGACTGTAGTCTCCTCTGAACAATTTATACTTGTATATAGAATCTGTACTCTTTTGATTGTTCAACCTGTATAAAAAGTGTATCATGAAAGAAAAGTGTGAACCGCGCAACACTTAATCACTGTATACCTCGTCTAATGAAGACATACCCACGAGGTCCTGGCAATCATTTGGCCCACGATTCGAATACTGTGAGAATCCGTTGCGAAAATTAAGATCACAACCTTTCTGTGTCTCCTTTTGTACAGCATCGCAAACAACCGAGTAATTAGACTCCATTCAGTTACGAATTAATCTCGGGTATGTTCGTGGATTTCACTTGGAGTGATGCAATCTGAGATTGCACGGATACGACGATCGATAAAAAGTCGATTATGCCATGTGGGATGAGACGAAGAGTATTCTGTGGAGTGCCGTTTGAAAGCCTGACTAATTGCGTCTGTTAAGAATGATTGGTTATTTGCATTTGCATTCGGTCATACGTCACCAAATCGTTCGTGTTTCCTAATGTGGAAAGACGTAATGTCTTTCAACTTTCCTAACGCGTCCGATGTAATGGTCATCTATTTATTGATTGGCTTAGCAAGATATTAAGTTGCATAAGTTTTTCTGTCGAAAGAATCGAATTATTTAGAATATTTCAACTTTTTTAAATTCTTTTTTTACAATGAAATCACTCGGAAAATAGAAATTCTTCTTTCCCACACGGCGAGCTAATTGCAAACGTGCGTTTTACATTTTTATGGTAAATGAATCATAGAAACGCGAGACTATCTCTCGTACGTTGTGCAACGTCGTCGACGAGAGAATGATTCGAGTGAAATTTTCACGAATCACGATTGCAATATACTTGAAATACCGTAAAGCGTGTCATCGAAAGTGGTAGCGATAGAAATGACTGTTTCAGCCGGTGGTGGCGGAGGTGGACCAAGAGGAGGTCCCGGAGGTGGCCAGGAGATACCCATCGTCTCGTTCAACAATCAGAACAGCGGGGACGGCAACTACCAGTTCAGCTACGAAACAGGAAATGGTATCAGTGCGCAGGAAACGGGTCAGCAGCAAGGTGAGATCAGGGCCAGTCACGTTTCCCAACAACGACATCCCGTGTTCCTTTTCTTCGCGGTTCGTTCGCTGCCATTTCTCGCCGTTATGAGTTCCTATCCATCATCGCGTTCGGCCTAGAATCCTTCCGTTTTACAATAGGAGTCGGATCGGTGAACGCTGGAACGCTGCAACTGATAAAACCCTCCAGTTCCTGTAACACCTTTCAAGATATCCACCGTTTACTTTCTTCTTTAATTGTACAAAATCTGCGAACGATCGGTTAGCCTGTTGCATTTTGAAACGTAGAAAGTCTGACCACCCTTGATACGTAAAAATCTAACCGCAGCATTCTTGCGGAATGCGCGACCCACTTCCGGTTCTCGACAGAGCGGTCAGTAAGGCCGCAGGCAACCGCTCGTCCCAATTTCAACTCGCGATGAGTGATTACCGAACAATGATCGTTATTAACAAGCTGGAAAGCCGCAAAAATTTTCCTCGATATAACCTGACGCAATACGACCCAGCCTGTTACACCTGTTGCGTCAAGGGTTCGTTCGTCTTTCTTTTCGCAGGCAACGCGGAAGCAGTTAGTGGATCATACTCGTACACGGGACCCGATGGCGTGCAATACAGCGTCACTTACACGGCTGACGAACAAGGTTTCCATCCCCAAGGTGCTCATCTTCCAACACCGCCACCAATTCCCCCTGAAATTCAACGGGGAGTCGAGTTAGCGCTCGCTGCTGAAGCCAGAGGAGAGAATCAGGATACTTCCGGTGGCGGTGGAGGCGGTGGAAATGGCGGGGGTGGATACTCAGGAGGAGGCGGTTACGGTGCGTTTCGCTGGAGAATCGATGGAGATGTCATTGAAGATTCGTTTGGGTTGTTTCTGTATAATTTTAATTACATATTTGTGTTTTCTGAAAGCAGGAGGCGGCGGCAGTGGTGGTGGCGGCGGCGGAGGTGGAGGCGGCCGAGGTGGAGGTGGCGGTGGTGGCGGCTATCAAGGTCCAAATTCATACCAAACAAGCTCGGGCGGATACCGTTATTAGACGACACAGTGAAAGTCATTACACGATCAATTTTGTTCCATTACAGCAATCTCATTTAAAGGCGGACTTATGTACATAAGAAAATATCGTTTATGTAACTTTTTTATTTATATAAAATACGAGTACTTTATTTATATCGTTGTTTCTCTTCCTGTAAAATTGGATCGAAACTTTTCAAGGTGTTCAAATCGCGTACCATTTCATCATAATATGTGAAATTTCTTAGAATTATTTTCTTAGTGTTCTTTATTAACAGATAAGAATTTTAATACAGCTGCATATTATATATTTTGAGAAATAAATTATATATATATATGTACACATATTTGATTTGTTTTGTAGGTTTAAGCGCACAACATCGAAAATATAAGTCGCATACGAATACACGTCATACACGCATAATAATACTTTTATGAATTGGAATGAAATGCTTCGAAAACCTTAAAAACGTAATTCATCATTAAGTATTTAAACAACCGCTGCTTGAGTACTGTAGTCTACCAGAGGTTCTTCGCACCTCCTTAATTCAGTTCCCCTGGCGAATTGAATGAATAGCTGTTCCAAGGTAGCCGATAAAACGGCATAATCTTCGATACAACTGTACCGTTCAGTCAGATTATTCATTGTGCTGTACATTTTTTCCCACGTCGTTCCAGAATCATTTACATGATAAGCAATTAATCCCTGGGGAATGAAGAACAAGATAACATCACCGGAAGCTTGAATGATTCATTAGGAAACGCTTTGTATTTGTCAAGAATTATTACCAAATTCTCATCTCTGATTTCACACGTTAAAGATGATTCCATAATTGATTTTATATTGCTCACATCGTCATCCGATCGGTTGGGATTTAATTTAACGTGAATATCGTAACCAGCGCCGAATCGTTGCTTCAATTCCTGGCTTGCACCAATGCAAACCAATTGACCTTTCACCATAATGACTAGCCTATTGCACAGAGCCTCGCATTCTTCCATGCTATTGCAAATATCTTTTCATGTAAGTACAGAAGTTTCGCTAATATGTATTACCGAGTCAAATAATGTACCTGTGAGAAGTAAGTATAATAGCTTGTCCCATTGCTTGGCAGGATTGGAGAATATTCCACAATGATCTCCTAGCAGCAGGGTCGACGCCCGTTGTTGGTTCATCCAACAGAACGAGAGTCGGATTTCCAATTAAAGCCATTGCGATGTTCAAACGTCGTTTATTCCCACCGCTGTAAGTACCACTTGGTTGATGCATGCAAGCATTTAAATCTGAAATAATGGATACATTTCTGAACTCTGCATGAAAATTATTTAAATATACATGAAAGATCGTGTAGCTTACTCAGACGATTGATCCATTTATTGACTTCTAAGTCCACCTTGGAACTCGGTATACCACGAAGCAAGGCGAACAATCGCAAATGATCGAATGAATTCAAAGAACTGAGTAGTGCGTCAGTTTGTGGACAATAGCCCATTTGAGCAAGGTACTGTAAAGAAAATGAATTGTCAGTGAAAATGATTAATGGTAAACAGTTCTATTAAAATTGTGTATTACATTCTTCCTATCTGTACGTATTTCTGAATTTCCTAAGTACATGATACCACTGTTTGGCATTTCTTCGCCGGTCAACATTCTAAACGTGGTGCTCTTTCCGGCACCATTAACGCCAAGTAATCCAAAACATTCTCGTTGCTTCACTCGAAAATTGATTTCTTGTACTGCCATTAATTTTCCATAATATTTGCTTAATTCATAAACCAAGAACAGACTATCGTCATTAGTTTCTGGACTTTCGAGAGCATTCAATTTGACGGTAGACGTTGTCGTTCCTTTTTCTTTCCCACTGATTGTCCTTCCTACACCTGTGTTGTAATCATAGTATCGCAAGAGGAAATTTTTTCTAATTTTCAATTAACTCAAAGAAATAAACCTACCTTCCGGAAATACTGCATTACTATTCGTTAGCTTCTTTATTTCTAATGCTACTGCATATTTCTCCTTTTCTACCTCTTCATCTTTTATAACACAGGCATTTTTTAATTTTTGATCGAACATTTTAGCGTATAATTTGTCGATCAATCGTTCTTCTAAAATAATAAGTACAGCAAAATATATTAATGGCGTGACCGACAAATATACAACGCATTCTGTCAGGCTCATATCACTGTTATCGTTAGAAAAATACGGAAGCTGGTTCCTACAGACTCCATCTACGCAATCCAAATCTTGAAAAGAAAACAACGAAATAATGATGTGTCGTTAGAGCACACAATTAATTGAAATGTAAATTCATACCACAACAAACATCCTTAAAACCCAGGCAAACTACATCCTGCAATCGTTTTGGTAATCGACGGCATCTCGCATTTTGTACAGCTACGTTGAAGAAAGATAATTGACCATGAAATAGGCTTACATGAGGTATCAGACGGAATATCCGTTTCTGTATTGCATGTAGAATCCTCAAACGGTCAAAACTATGTACCACTTCGTGCAGAAGATATTGAAACAAAACTAGAATAGAAAATAGATCATCTTAAGTGTTCTTAGGATTAAATATAAGTATAACTTACCAAATCCAACAGGTACAAGACTCAATATGGTTACCACAGTATTTCTTGATTTATTGACAAAACTAAAGATGTATGTTATAAATAAAGAATTAATCCCAAATAATACTAATAATAGTATCATAATCACTGAAAAGAAAAAGTTCGAGTTAAGTTGAATTTTTAATAGATATAATCAGTCTTTAGTATCAGCTTACGTGTTTCTGTGCGGTAATACAGGCGAATATCTAAGATAATATCCATGATATAAAAGCCTAGCATGATAATAACTATAGACATTGTGAGAATTAAAAAATCGAAAGAAAACATCGTGCCCCAGTATGAGAAAGACGTGACTCCCGTCATTCTTTGAAGCTGCTTTACTCTAGTTTCCATTTCTTGAAAAGGATGGATAACAAAAAGTGCTACAGTAGGGAAGAAGAAGCTACAAAACACCAATACTCGTGACAATGATTCCGCTTCTGGCATTAATATTGTTGCAGATAAAGGGTTTGGTAACTGCTGGCTTGAAACACGGATAGAGTATTCGTCACCAGCAAAACGTTTGATTAACGCGTTCGATAACAGATTCACAGTTAATGGTACACTGTGAACCGCAATACCAGAATAAAAACCATTAGCGAGTATAGCGGCATTATCGTCGGAAACATTAAATTCCGCGGAAACAATATAATTGTTACGATATGAGGCAATATCTTGAAGAGCATGATCCAATAAAGCTGAAAGAATAGTTTGATTTCAATTTTTGACATTGAGTTTTACAGTTTTCCCAAACAAAATATAATTGTTGTAGTTACCTTGTGAAACACTTGTATTTTGCTGCACTTCTTCTGCAAACCCACCAAAATAATCTACTGAATCTTTATAATGCATACCACATTTTTCAGCTTTAGACGAATATAGAGCTTTAGGATGTCTATACATATCAAGTTCAAGCGGAAATACATCCGTCGAATCGCGAGGCGTATTATAGCTCAAAGCCATTAATACGACCGATAAAATTGGTAAAAACAGCTAAAAAATATAGAATCATAAGTAAAACAATAATGGATTAATAATAATCTACTTCTAATCTTAATACATACTGTCAACAATGTATGGGTTATATTTTTTTTAGTGTAAGTTAATTTTTTATGATACAGTGCCAAAATTGTTTGCATACATAAGGACCATCCTTGTACTTTTTGCAATGGGGAATAGAATATTTCATTTAAATGTTTTTCTTTCTCTTCTTTCTTAATCACTCTAAGAAATAAAATAAATATTTTTTTTTACAAATTTCATTAAATAATGATTAAATGTACTTTAAAAGTCACATACTTTAAAAATACTTCTTCTAAAGTAATAAGTGAAACGCTGATTCCAGTAACGCCCAATTTCTTTTTCTGATTTTCGATTTTATCTAGAATTTGTGGTAATGTGTCAGTGTTTGGTACACTTAAAACAATCTTTTCACTGTCCACATTTATTTGTTGTGTTCTTGCATCGAACTTATTTATAACTTTTTCTGAATTACACCATGACTTAGTTGATAAAGTGACTTCTAAATGACCATAGCCTAAAATTAAACAATACCTTATATGTACATACATATGTATATTATACAGGGTCTGGCCGAATAACATGTAGGAGCGGACACCACGTAATTACGTGGTTATTATTTGGCCGGACCTTGTACATATATCGCTCTATAATAAATGTACCAACCATATTGCTTTTTTAAAAACATGGTTGTACCATAACATTTTAATCGACCTCCGTGTACAATAGCAACTCTGTCCCCAAGTATGTCAGCTTCTTCCATGTTGTGTGTACTAATCAAAATTGTTTTCTTCCCTCTTATTTTCTACAGAAAATTGAATAAGGTTTTTACATCTATATAAATCAATTATTAATTGCTCTGTATAAAAAAAAATTCCCTTACTAATATAACATCCCAGATATCTCTTCTAGTTTCAGGATCCATTCCTGATGTTGGTTCATCCAAAATTATAATCTAAATGAGATATTACCGAAATAAAAATATTGTTTATTCGATAAAACAAGTTCAATTTGCATTGATGTTAGTATATTCTTACACTAGCATCCCCGACGAGAGCCATCCCAAGACACAGTCTTCTCTTTTGCCCTCCAGATAATGTACTTGGAAGAACGTTCCTTTTTTCATTCAATTTTAATTTATCAAGGAGCATATTAATATTTTGTCGAATTTCTTTCCTCGTTTTATTTATACCTTTCAACTAAAATTTCCATATGTAATTACTTTAGATTATTATCTATAGTAATGCCGTAGCACCGCGGTACTATACTTACTAGACCGAAAAATTCCAATTGTTCGAACACACTCAAATCAGGAAAAACCATATTTTCTTGTGGACATAATCCCAAATCATTTCTAATAACTTCTAAATGTTTTGCAATATTTCTGCCATTTATAAGAACCTTTCCTTCAGTAGGACTTATTACACCTAATGAAAAATGTATATTAAAAGACATCGATATAAGGTACTTTTTTTTATAAACAGAATTTGTACCTGTTAAAATGGACATAAGTGTAGTTTTTCCAGCTCCATTATGTCCTAATAAAGCTGTTATTTGTCCTTTATATAAATCGACTGAAATACCTTTCAATGCATGGACTGCCTATTATAAAATAATTGCAATTATAGTTATAAAACTTAAATAATAAAATTATTCAAACTTACCGATTTTCGAAAACAGCTAGTATTATACGTTTTCTTAAGATTACGGATCTGAATTCCAGGAGTAAGTGCACCTTTTGTTACAGGTTCAAAGTTCTCATTATCTTCTTTATCATAATCAAAATCTTCCATATCCTCATCAAGATATACTTTATTTTTCCTCAAATACTGCAAAATTGTACAAGTGTTCTGCATTATGTATTGCGTATGTATAGTGTATCTCAAGAAAGATAATGTATTTTGGAATATTAAACAATTTACCTTTAGAAAATAAAATGGCTTTTTACGTACTCCGTATTTTCCTGGGAATATAGCATTGATGTATAATGCTAAGGAAAAGTGTAACAAAGTACCCAACAGAGAAAAAAGTAATATAAATCCAACACATCCACCAATATTATATTGTGTATCCCCCGCAATAAACATATTTGACCACTGAATACCGATTACTAAAAATCGGGACATATTTAATGTTTAAATAACATACAATTTTATATATTGAAATATTAATAGCGCAGAAATATTTTTACATACATCGAGTTTCATATGCATTGACTTCTTCCAGGAATCTATACAGAAATATATTTGGAAACAATATTCCCAAATACGGTATTATCGATAATACTCCTACTTTTACTAAATTTCCATGAAGTGAGAAAGAAGCAGTGTAAATAACTGACAGTGTAGTTATTACGAAACGCGCTGCAAGAACAATTATAATCGTGTTTCATAACTACATATTATGTTTTACAGCTTATTCAGAAATAAAACTTACGTTTTGAAAAATATGCAGCAACATGCATACCAAATGATATTAAATGGGCAATATGTACTGTAAATATTAGCCAAAATATAAAAGTGTTGCTATGATACAAATATGGATCTACATTTCCAGAGAAAGTATTTTTAAATAATATTATTATTGGAACTATATAAAAAATACTGAACAATATGCCAGTAATTAACCAACTTAGTAGATTTTGGTAATGTTTTACTCCATTCATTGCCATTAAAACCTACACATATTTAAACAATATATAATTGCTGTAGAAATTCGTTGTGTTATAGTTTATAACATACTTACATTTACTCCAATATATTTTTCTTTTGTTGCATAATTTGTTTCTATACATAGTGGAATTAAAAATGCAATGACTGCAAACATACATATTCCCACTCTTAGTAATATATCTGATTCATCTATTTTAACATATGGAGGATATGGCATTCTTTGTATGGACACCTGAAATATACATACATAATAAATATAAACTATCAACAAGAAGTGAACTTAATAGTATGTATTTTGTAATACCATTCTTTCAATCATGGAATGTGATGTGTGATTTATAAAAGAATCATCAACACACATTTGCAATTGTACAAATGGTATAAGATTAAAATATATTGTAGACTGATCAAATGTGTTTTGGAACAATGTTTTTGGAATATCTATGGGATGCCTGATTTTATATTTTATGGCAGTTGTATTGTATTGTTCAAACACAAGAGCTAACACTTCAACAGCAGGAGCTTCAGCATGTAGAATTGTATAAGCATTAATCATATCATCTTCAGATGAAAATCCAGCTACACCTATTTAATACAAATATATAGCTTTAAATATTAACAAAACAGCATAACACACTACATTAATGATTGTAATAATTACTTTCTTGTGGTAATCCCAAACACATTCTGGTGTTATGCACAATATTCTTTGTATATGAATTCTGTGGCACAAAGTATAAAAATGTCAAATCCCTGTTTATCAAAGTCAATTCATCTTTGGTGTATATAGGATAATATGTACTTTCATTAATCACTCTAGGTGGTTGTACACTAAAATCTCTCACAGCTTGTATCAATACAAACAAAGCAATAGGTATCAAACATTGTATAAATATTGTTGTCTTCCAATGTCTGCATCGTATTAATAAATTTTTATATAAAAGTAAAGCAAAAGTCCTCATGTTATTTGCCATTTTGATCTTCTGATGTTATTAAATTTAATTGAGGACTTCCATGACTTTGCATAATCAATGTATATATGCTTTGTGTATGCAAACTGATAAGTTACAGAATGCCATTGAAAGTTCATAAAAGTACAATGAATATATTATAAACATTGATCTATGAATCAACATGTATATATTCTACTAGAATATAATATGTGCTAAACACGTAACTCTGACAACCAAATTATAATGTAAACTCTTTTACACATTCATTTGTGGAGCCTTGATTACATATAATTAGAATTTCTATAAGCATTTATGTTTAATTTCTTCTTGATTGTCATAATAATTTTCTCTGAAAACCAAAGTTCAATTATTACAGAATAATGTCAATATAAGAATACAACAAAATTTGTATGAAACTAAATTCAATACCCAAAAAGATAAATGTTTTACTAATATTCAGAGGATATTATAGTATTTTAAAATATGTACATACCTGAGGTACAGATAAATATTTATTAGCTCTGTATCAAAGAATTTATAAAAATAACATTCTACACATTTTTATACTTCATGTATTCTTATCAAAAATGTATTCGTTTAATTACTTAGCGTTACAATGCGCAAAACACGTCGCACTTGACAGTACTTACTACTGTCACAATGCAACTATACATGTCATACTGTCATATAACGAGTTTTCCTTCGTTTTGCGCATGTTAACTGTTGGATTGACTTGCGTATGTTTAGTCTGGGCAAGTGCATTGTAGCATCAAGCTGCATATGCAGTGGTCTTATAATTATTATACTCTTCAACCTGGGACATTATCAGTTGATTCCCCTATCCATATATTTTTGTCCACCGTGTATATTGCTATAAAGTTAGGAGTAAGAGCAGAGGGCCTCCTTGAGCTGCGCAAAACGGGTATGTTCTCTCATTCAACGAATGCTATATATACATATACATATGTTTTAAATTATCAATAAACTATAGATAGTCATTACAGATAATGTTATCTCATATTTATCTGTCGTTCTACATACATGGCATGTGTGTGTTCAAAATTTCGTGAAAGTATGTGACGCCTTAAGGCTTAAACATACTATTGTCAGATGCATGACGTGCCAGATAGTATATCTTATACGTTGTGAGCTCCGTTTCTGATGTCGTGAAACAGACGAATTTGGCTGCTGGCCAGTAAATTATTGAACGAAAAACGTTTGAACGTCGATTTACTGCGTAAGTATATTCGAATTTATCTGCACAGTGCAGTGATATAAATATTACATACATCATATTTAAAGATGCAATATACAAACAACGTGACTAACGAAGCAACAGGCTAATCGTCATTTTGACGTTGAATCATATCCAAATGCTAAGTGACATTCAAGTGAAGCTTAAATAATTTGTAAATAGACTTAGAAAATTTTACTGTTAAAATTGCTTTTATGGTATACTTTTGACAAGGTTAGGTAGCTTATTGATATGATACATATATATAATACTTGTAACGAACTTTTCGTGTCACATGTAGGTTTTGTAAGACTCTTCATGTTTGCATTTTTATAGACAATGCCATGGATTGTTGTCCCTCTAACCGAGTTAGAAGTCCCAGGACTGAAAAAGAACTTCCAAACATCTCTAGTCCAGAGATGTTTGATAGTGACAATGAAGATGATAACAAGAACAATGAAACATTAACGAATGAAGTAACAGTAGTAGCTAGTCCAGAGAAGCCTTCTCAGGCTGATTTGATTGCTAAATCTGATAATAGTTTATTAATTAAAATTAACAAATATTTAAGCGGCGTACCTCCACCACCTAAACATACAATTTGTAGAACTGATTGTTCAGAATTTCTTATACGTATTTATGAGAATAAGCACCTATTTTATACACCAAGGGTATTACCAGAAGAACCATTGCAACAAGGTATAAACCAGGAATTCCTGGAAAAGCACAAAGAAAATATCAGTACAATTAATTCTTATCAGCGCAGCAAAAGCACCCTTAGAAATTTAAGTTCTGCTTTTGATGCTTGTGATCCACAATGTCAAAGTAATGTTAGTAATAATATACCTACAGTAGATTTAAAGTCTAATGTTTCAAGTGATAACTGTACATTAAAACAAGTAGTTCCTAATACTGAGAACAGTGTACTTAACACTGTAGAAAATGTAATAAAACCTTTAAACCCTGAGCATGTACAGGCAACTACAAATAATAATGAAACCAAATTGTTTTGCACTTCTGAAAAAAAGCAATCTCTTTTTTATAATACTATTAAAGAAGAACAAGCTTCCACTTTAACATGGCCAGAAGCATATCACCACAAATTTCATGGAATACAGTAAGTACATTAATATTCTGTAATTTCTAATTTGGTGCATTTATATAGAAGTATCTATAATATTTCATGTTATTTCAGCTATAACAGAAACAAAGCAGTTGAAGATTTTGAAAATTTTTTACCAAAACTATGCGAAAGGTACATAGGAGCAGAGACTCAGTCTACTTGTACTGTGTGGTTCTCTAAGCAAGCACCAGGAAGTGCCAAGAAACGAAATCTTTTAGCTAAATGTAATAATGGCCAAAGTCCAGGGAAGAGATTGAATCATTTAACGAAAAGACGAAGAACATTTTCTAGTGCAAATTTGAAAGGATTAATACCTAACAATAAGAAGCTACTAGTGTTAAATATTAAGTATGTATTAAGTTTCAAATGTTACATTTTAGAAAGATTTTCGCTAAACTTAAAACATGCAATGCTTTAGGAAACCTACGGTTAAAAAAGGAAAAAGTCCGCGGGGTAAAAGTCCACGAGGCAGAAGTCCAAGGAGAACTCCGAAAAGTTCAACAAAGAAAAGAGTAGCTCGAAGGCTTGTTTTAGATGGGCCCAGTCCATTGAAGGCGAAAATAGAAACGTCGAAACGTGCCCTCTTTCAAAGCTCCCCTCCGGACCTAGCCGGACCTAGCAAGACGCTTATAAGTGGGTCAAATCCTCAAAACATTAAACGTGCACTGTTTATACAGAACTCGAAGGAAAATGAGTTCGAAGACATTCCGAAAGTATCCGAGGAATCGAGGAAAAGAAAGAGCGAAGAAGAATTAGAAGGGTCGCGATTCAAGTGGGCAAAGAGTTTATCTTTCGACTGCCCGCATGAAGTGCATAACAACTCGGCACCTTCGTGGGAGAGATACTCGTCGAGTAACGTAATCGAAAAAAGCAAGCCATCCGTGACGGAAGGAAGAAACGAGTTAAGCGACATACATAGAAAGGTAGGTATCTTTTAATATTTAAATTCATACTATGCAAAATAATGCAAACATATGTTTCCAGAAATTATTATGGGCGGTAGCAGAGGCTTTACGAAGCGAAGGTGTAGGCATGAGTCATCCAAAATTCAAACCATACGCTACAAACTTAGTACGAATTATTAAGAAACTCATGCCTGAACTGGAAAATAAAAATATTCCTCGTAAACTAGGGAGTACAAGCGATCGTATGTTAAAGTTAGCAAAACATCACGTTTTATCTGTGATTAATGCAAGACCAACAGATTGACAATACTCATTGGTACAGGAAAACTTGACCCGACTTTATGCGAAGTTTGTTATTTATGATTAAAAATATCAATCGTTGATCATTGGTATTCGTATGACAGGGTGGGAAATGTATGAACGGTGGTTTTTATTTAACTGAATTTAGTGAAATATTGTTTTGAAGTGTATTATAAGAAACCGTGTGAAACATTAACGCGCGTAGTGTGAATGTTGAAACTGCGAAAAAATATTTTTACTGTTTAAACAAAAAAATGAAAGGTTATTTTTAATATGCTTATTTTTTTATTAGCGGTAAAATAGTATATATATATATATTTCACAACTTATAAATAATTAATAAAAGGTGCTTCTCTGAAACAAAACATAACTTGCAATTAATAATTTTAGAAACAACGCGTTGTATACATGTATATCAATCGTACCTAGCATACAGTTGTATCTAAAATGTTAAGGGCAGAGTAAAAAAATAAAGACTAATCGTGTTGTACGCGCGATACGCGTTCATCTTTCTTCGTTTGTTATTCCGCATTTTGATGGCCCACCCTGGCAATTACTTCGTCTAATATTTGCGTCAGTTCCTTATTTTCTTTAGTCTTTTGTTCAACTAATTCAGCCAGAGAATTGCTCTTAAGCTCAGCTTTCCTCACCATTGCATGAAGTTTTACCGTTTCATCCTCGTGCTGTTTTCGTATAGCATCCAATTCAAAGTTGGCTCTGAAATACATATCATGAAGTAACATTCCTTAAACAACATACATTCGCGTTAGATATTTATCTTGTAACATTTACTTTTCAAGTTGAGTCATAGCATGATTCTTCAACTGGTCGTATCGGGTTTCTAAACCTTTTATAGTTTCCATATTTTCCTCAATACTTTCCTTCAGTACTGTTTCGTTACTTTTGTACGCGGATACGACTCCCTTCAGTCTTTCATATTTCTGATGAACGTCGTTGAATGCAGCCTCTGTATTGGTCAAATGGACGTTAGTGGCTTGTAATTCCTCTTGAATTTTCGCCTTTTCCTGTTCGAAATTCGTACGATCCCTTTCTTTTTCTGTGAACAGCCGACTAATCGATTTTTCATATTCTTCGACTACGACCCTGAAAGCAACAGTCCAATTAATTTATTCTTCTCTATTTAGAATATTTTACAAATAAACAAGTAACTTACGTCATCTGAGATTTACTTTTTACTTCCTGCGCTAATTGTGCTTGTAATTTATTAATCTTTTCCTGGAAAGAGTTCTTTTGCCTCTCTAACTCCGCTTCATGTTCCTTCTTTTGTTTCTCCAATTCTTCCTCTAATTGTAATACAGTTGATTTTACTAATTCTAATTCTTTACTCATATTAATATCAGTAATAAGTGGAATATCTGATTTTGGTTCCTCTGTAGGCTGTTCCTATACGATAGAAAGATGAGTACATATATTTTTATACATTAAGCAATCTATACTTACAATCTTTTCTCGTGGTTCTTCCATCTTTTGAACATTACGTGTAGCGATAGGACTAAAATAAAGTAGCCTATCGATGGCAGCTATGGCAGGATTACATTTTGGAGTGCTAATATTCGTCGATGAATTCTCGTTTTTGCCATTTTGTTCCTCGTTTATAGGCTGAGTATTTCCTTGGGGTAACATGCTGGTATCCGATACCAATGGATCAAATTTCACATATAAAGATTCCGCTCTCAAACGATTTATGGTATTCTTTTTCGAATTTCCGTGAGCTATCAAAAAATCGAAGCTCTTTGGATCCTGGAACACTGTAAAAAATGATATCGTTAATATAAACACTTGCGAACGCTTTAACAATGAAGATAATTTTGATCAATTACAATCGGATGTCGCGCTGACAAAATGATCAGTTTCGTTTGAGAATTCCAACGATGACTTAAAAATATCATTGGCAACCTGTTCAGCCGCAGACTTCAAGTCCTCGAAATTTGGTTGCTCAATACATAACGTGTCTAACGAAGTACTCTGCCGTTGCGGTTTGAATTCCGTATACTGTTCCAAGTCTGGCACAGCTTCTGCATTGAAGGATATATCTTGCAAGGTAAGCGTTCTGTCCAACTTTTCTTCGCAAAATTCTTCCTCGTTCTCTTTCTGTTTCTCTTCAACGCTCAAATTTACCGAGCCTACCTTCTCAGAACACTCTATTGTTTCGGTGTCAGAAGATTCATTTAACTTATCATCCTCTATCTCTTCCTTTTTAGAAGGAGAAACATTTGCCTCTAGGCTAGCTTCCTGTGGCGTAGAAAGCTCGACCTTCTTAACAGCGATATTATTACTTTCAACTTCACTGTGAACGTTCGTCACCTCCGAATTCTGTTGAACTTCAGGCGTTTTTGGTCTCGAGACTGGAGTGTCGTTCAAGTTATCCGCGCAACTTTCTCCACCGTTTCCAGCATCATAGGGACCAGGTGATATCGCTTCTTCCAAACTTTTATTCTGTACCTCGCTAATAGGACTTTCTTTCAGTGCATCTTGCGGAGATGCGGTTACCGCAACGCTACCACTGACAGGAGACGAAGACTTAGCCAATAGGTTCTTCGCATTGTCCTTATCCTCGTGAGAATCGTTCCCGCTCGATCCTGAAGAGTCTGTTACTGTGAAAGAAGATAACGTCGGGATACTAGGCAACGACAAGCCTTCCACATGTTCCGCTAACGTCGATATACCAGGTAACGAGAATTCTTCGTGCTCTGTTAACGACGAGGATTCGAACGGTGCTGAATTTAAAGGACAATTAGGTACGTTCAAAGGATTCGCCTCCACCGAAGTAGACTCTAACGTGATACGTGGATCTTGTTTGCAGATATCCGAGATCTCTTCACTGAGGGCCAAGCACGTCGTTAAATTTAAATTAGGATCCTCCGGACTGGGACGTGGCAGTGAAACCTCGTCGACGTTGTTCACCGGGCTACCACCGGTTTCTCGGGAACCAGATGAATCATCGTTACTTTTGTCGGGTGAAATCGACTCGTCGATCGATTCCTCTGGCTTCAAGATTCTGTTGTACCTGTTGTTCGTGATCAGAGCAACGGGCAACGGTTGCCTAATGCAAACAGTGCCCAACAAAATCGGCCGGTCTTGAATGTCTTGTGTACGATTGAACGATAAACGCGTGGACTCTCGCGTAGTCGATTCGTTCTCTATGATTTCTGTACCGTTCTGAGAGTCCGTCAGAGAGAACTCGCTGGAACGATCGATCTGTAGATCATCGGTGGCCGAGGCGAACGTCTGATCCTGGCTGAGATCCTGGGAACTCTGATCCTCTTCGCTGTTGTTCAGGTGTATGTCGGCGCAACCGAGGATCAAATCGTCCAAGCCTGATATATTAGGGTTCACGTAGGAACTGTCCACAGTCTGGCTAGGACTATAAGGCAAGGAGTCTGGACTGTTCACGCTGTTGCTGCTCTTGGCGCTTAAACTGCTGTTCAGACTCTGGAAACTACCGGCCGAGGAGAGGCTGTCCGGTGTCGGGTAAGTGATCGATCCAACATCGGCGAATTCGCGGGCGAATCGAACCTTCACCTCATGCTCCGCTGTTTTCGCTGTTGGACTGTCGTTGCCGCTCTGTTAAACAAAAAAGAGGGCACGTTAGTTGAAACAAAAGACAATTTCAGTTCTCTAATTCTATCGTAAGTATTTTCCATGCTGTGTTGCTATACTTTTATAAACACTAAGTTCACGGGAACTTAGAAATTGCAGATTTTCAATATAAAACCGAATAGTTTCAACTGATGATAAAAATGAAATGAACGTCAGTCAGGTTCGACGTGAAACTGAGAGACATCCTGGCGATAGAACGAATCCCTGGAAACTAGACGTGTTAATCAGAAACTCGAGAGGCTGGTAACGAGCTACAAGTTCGACGCAAAATACCAATTGCGTGGGCGACGTCGTCCTTGCCGGGATCACGGTGGCACGCTGCAACAGTTTATTGATATATTCCATTTCTCCCGCGAATAAGTACCAGAGGAGAGGAGAGGAGAACGGTTCAACGTGCCCGTATACCGCGAGCAATCCACGTTCACTGATCGCAAAGATCAGCTGACGGCGTGGCTCGCGATTTCTTTCAGAAATTGCGCAACTTCGCGAGGCTGAGACTAATTATAAAATATACCCACCGAACGAGAGGGAGAGGAGACCAGGATTTTGTTTTGCCGGATCTTCGCGCGCCAGTGTTGGCCGCGAATCCATGCCAAGAACAGTTATGAACGGATTCTCTTCACGGTTTCATGAAAAATGAACTTTCATCGGGAAGGTATCATCGATTTCAGTTTTTATACGATCCGGAGTCATTGTGCGGTGAATCGTGTGGTGTCTCGCGATATTTTTATGCGGTACCCCCGACGACGCAACCTGTGCGTCTTATCTGATACAACTAATGACGCATCATGTGTGTCATATCCTTTTATCCAGTGCAAATAAGCGAAATGATACGATTCATGAAAGATGAAGTCAATAATAATTTTAAAAGAAATTCCCACAGTAAGACCGTGACCTCCAACGAATTGAAAAGTGAACTAAAACTTGTATGAATAACGCAGTTATTGAAAATCAATCCTGGCAAAAAGAGCTCTTTTCCCTGTTTTCATTCATCGTATGCAAAAGGAAAAAGCGATGAAACAATGAAGCGTTTGACGAACGGCAAGAAGTAGGTCGTGCCTCGATGAAACGCAAAATTTCGCGGCACGCGATTTGATTCGCAAATCTACGCTGACGGCACGCTTTGTCTATCGCGAATACGATTTAGGTCACTCGGTATATACGCGTCGAGGAGTTTTCGAAACGTAAAGCTCTTGAAAATTGGTTTAGAAAATTGAATTGCAAGATAAGAGATCGACGTTCCTGTGAAATTAAATTAAATTCCATCGTTCTTCGAAGGAAGATCCTTATCACTTTTCGATTAAAACTTCTGTCGATTTCTAAATATAAAAGATATATCGAAGGCCATATTTCGCTTCCAAGTAGGACATTTTTTTCATGCAAAGAGTACATATTGAACTATTGAAGATAAAATTTTAGAACAAAGAATCCTTGAAACGAAAGGAAAATAGAGATTCTGTGTAGCATTGTTCGAATATGCCTTTGTTAAACAGTAATGTTTCTTTCTTTCTTTCGTTTCAATGCTTTATTTGGTATTCGAGGATGGTTCGTGCATGTGCATGGTAAATAACGATATATAAAACTAACATCTACCATATGTGCAGGTCTTAAACACGTTGAATGTGAAATGAATTCCGTATGCTTTGTCCACGACGCCGCAGTGGAGGCGTCCGTATATGGTCAGACATATCGTAAGGAGAATCACCATATTACATTATAATAATTCTAATACTATTTTGTCCCCATTTTTGTCACTGACTCTTAAGACATTCAACGTGTTAGTTTCTATAAAGAATGAAAGAAACAGCTTTCAATTCCTTGAAATTTCCTCAAAAAAGTATGACCCTTTGCCTTTTAATTAGTTGCACTGGTGGCCTTAATTACAAACTCAACTGAACAAGACACTCCAGAGGTGCTAATTTCACTTCTAATGAAAATTTGCTAAATTGAGAATCGTAAAGTACAAATTTATCCATCAGATATTAATTACTTTCTTTGTTCCAATGATCGAACGTGCGAACAATGAATTAAAGCAGATCAGATCGTAAGGCAAAGGGTTGATCCATCGATTTATCGTTGTCAAACGTGAAATCGATTACAGATTAATACGAAGCTTTTTTTTCCAACGAGTTTACCTTGCGGATGAGATTCCCCATGACTTCTGAAAGGACCTCCACTTTTCGGCTGTCACTGCCGTCCGAAACGCAACCATATTTACACGCGGGTTCAACGGAACCCCACGTTGTGAACTTTCTTACTTTCTCCCCCCCATCTTTTCCCCCCCTCTATATATCCACACCCCCTGACACGTTTATTTTGGACGACACGGAACATCCTTCAAGCTTGCCATTCACCCCTTCTTCATGGTTTTGTGTATTTTTTTTTGTCTTTTTTTTTACTCCGTCTCGCTGACTCTGTTAGGACTTTTAAAATTGACGTGTTCTATCAGTTCAATAAACTTTGACACACCTGCTGCGTCTAACGAAAGTATAATAGGAAAAAGAACTTTCTTGGAACAAGAGCTCTGTCTCAAATGAAAGAAAAAACGAAAACTGACGATGAAACGATTTGTTGAAGAATTTAAAGCATGACTGTAGTTTCGAAAAGCAGAGAGATCGATTAGACTGATTGCTAGAAACTTTTTTATCCTTCGGTTCATCCTTGAAAGTTATAAATACCAGATTACTCGATATCGTTCGACTAAAGATCAAATTGTTACTTTCTTAGGTGTTAATTAAGGAGCCTGTTTCAATCTTTCTGAATTGAGGGGAATTCTAGAAACAAGTGAGGTTAGAAAGTAGAACGTTCATGTCGTTCGCTAATGCAACGCAATTTAATATCACGAAATAAGAAATTAACTCCAGGATTATTCATGCCATGTTTTTTTTTTAGCTTCTTGTATTATCTTTCTTTTTTTTTTCTAAGATAATTACGTAAGTTACCGAAACGTAGTAGTTAATAGAATCTTATGAACGATTTGAATAATTTACACGTTTTAGAAGTTATGTTTCTTAATTTATAAGGTCTAGCATGTATCGAGGCAATTAACACTCTTAATTACTGTTTATATTCCTAAATGCCAATTATAGACCTCTTTAGATCGATTAACAACGCAATGTACAGTATCGAACGTAGTAGGCTTCCGTAGGATGTATAATTAATTTTAATAATATTAACATTAAACATGATTTAGAACAAACAATAACATAATTTTTAGTTATTAATTATTATAAAATTTAGTATGTAACTGAAAAGTACAAGCAACAAGGTAAACATCAATTCAAATTTTCGCGGGTATGCGTTTGAATGCAAGCGGAGGGCCGCCCCCGGCCTATATATATGGGACCTCTACCCACGCATCTTCATTTTCCCCGGGACCGTCTCCGGAGACGGATCGGAGGCCGGGGAAGGGAAACCACAGGGGGGGGGGGATCGCCATTTTTCTTCGTGAAACGTACCATGCTCGGTACTGTACAAGCTTTTTTTGTTAAGAACCAAGAATGTATAAATATGAACAGAGTAAATTTGCTGTAGACTTGCAGGGAATCGATTTGAAACGTGGACATGTTTAATAGCCTTTAAATATTTTCGTTTCTTTTTTTTACAACGAATAAACTCGAATGCAATGTGTTACATCTCGACATCAAAAAATATAAAAATAATATGTTCGCACCTAGGTATATCGAAAATTCCCGCCTTGATGTTCGATATCTCCGATCCTCTTTGAATTTCGAAGAACATTTCTCGTCAACCGTGACGAACTATAGATTACACTGTGCTCTTTTATTCGTTAAACCTACGGTATAAACTGAACGCGTTCACTCGAGCACTTCGTATATTCGAGGCATTCAAGCGAACAAGGCGATACAATCAGTAGCAATTTCCATTCGAAACTCGAGAAGCTCGCGCTCTCCTTATTCGGCGTGTTCTTGACATCATCGAGACCACAACACACACTATCGGCTATATGTATGAGTCATTCCCATCTTGTCGCGTTGACAGAGAAAAAGGAACACTTTTCAACAGGGGTGTGTCTCTCTCATCCCTCTGCGTTTAGCTTCATCGAGCTGCAGTCTTATGGTCCATAGAGAATTTTATACGGACATTAATGCAGTTCGATACGACTGCATTCGATAAGAACGACGCGTTAAAGCGAGAGAGGAGGAACTAGGTCTGACGACACAGTTAGTTATCACCTTTGCAGTCAGCTTGTCTCTGCTTGCCAAGAGAGACTTAGCCAGAAAACCACGCACTCACCGAACGTGACGGATCAACGGAAGATATCTTTGGTAGAAATTCTAATATTAGCGCAGCGCATTCTCCAGTCGATATTCTAGACATCCACCACTACCACTGACTTTTAGACTGCACGCGACCACCACCATCTACGTGTCTGTGTATGTATGAGAAACGACGATGCTGCCAAAAAGCGAACGCCTCACCTTTCGAGAATGATTTTGCAATCCTAAGATGAAGGTTGCGGCTAGATCGCGTACAACATGGAACGAGGCTGCGATTCGTCGAGTAGATTCAATGACCACAGAATCATCGCCACCGTCTTGCCACGATGATACATCCACTAACACTTGCTGTTACACACCGCTGTCGTAACGTCGGACCGCGCACACGCCGCATGGGCATTATGCTACAAAGATCACCAACTATGGAAGTGGTGGGACACCGATTCGAGATAGCGAGGTGAGGTTCATGTAGCGCTATCTCTGAAATGACACGTGAACACGCTCGTTAAACGCGTATCCTCGCTGATGGTAAATCGATGGACCGATTAAACTGCAACGAGTCATTTGACACTGGCATGAAGAAAGGAAAAGCCGAAAGTTCATTGAACGTGATCGAATTATGATGGAACGTCAGACTTAAATGGAAGATACATAATGAAAAATTTCAAGGGAAACTTTGCATTTCATTAAATTTCTTTTTTTCTTTAAAAATAACGTCGGTAGTTCAATCTTATCCTGATTAATCAGCACTTTCTCTTACATAGCGGCATATTAATCGTAGAGTCTTGAATATAACAGATTAAATTGATAAAGGAGATATCAAGTACTTGAAGTTTAATGAATTTTAAGTTACTCTTTATACGAAGGCTAGTGTCTCCTATTTCTGTAATCGTTGATGCTATTGCACTTTGATATATTAAAAACTTTGTGCTCGTACTGTATAACGTCACTTTTATTGTTTCTGCAGTCAGAATCACACGGAAATGCAGTAGGTTTTTCACCGTAACGAGGAGAACCGGTTTAACCGGGAACAAAATTTTTGTATAACGCTGGAAACAAACCAGTTTTTGTTTCATGCGTACAAGAAATAGAGGAGCATTTGTAAGTGCCGTGGATTTACGAGCTGTGCGTCAAACATTAACTGTACTTCCCTTAATTTATTCTACACACGCGGCAGATATTACGATATAAGTATGCTAATAAACGATTGATGTATGTTGCTATTTCTATAAAAAAAAAAATTAATGTTACGAAGTTTATAGTTGATGCGTTCTTTTTGAAAGTCGAAGAGATGCCAACGCGCGGGAAGCGAAATTTATTTTCGTTTCAAGGTGCTCCTGGAGATTCAGGGTTTATTTATAGGGATTCTCCGGCACAACTGTTAGCAATAAAAACAGATAGAAAAGGCGACAGGGCAAAAAGAAGACGATAGTACCGATAAGAACGCTGAATATGCGAGTAACTTGGGGTTCGTTGTCATAGGCAGGGCACATTATCACTTTTTAATACAAATACCTTGAAACGGAGAGGTACCGGAGACGAATTATGTAGGGATGCAGTAATTTCACGAAGTACTACTCGGGTCCCTTCACGAGCAGTACTACCAATGCTCTTTGGACTTGACATCGTGACGATATCTTTTTTCTAACTTTTACTAAAAATTCGACTTGATTAAGTACATTCGTCGTTGCACTTTTGTCGGACACAAGCACAAAATAACTTAATTTCAAACGTATTATGTACAAATTGAAGAACACTGAAAGTTATCGAAGTTTGCATTCACAGTTGATCTTCGAAGCAATAAACAACGTCACGATTGCTTCCGAATATCTGCATTCACAATAAATATCATTAACACTTTGGGTTGAGCTTGGTAGATGGATTTAATGCAGTGCTAAAACACACAAATCACACTATTTTGTTAAAAGTTCGTGCATATGATCGTCGATTCCACCAACGTTCCAATGTTTGGCACACAACCGCTTTCTTAACGGCCGTCTGGCATTTGACAACTTGAATGCAAACGCATTAGCCAATCGTAGAACGCCATTGCGTTTCTCGATCAAACACCGGGGCGCTGCCATCCTGTTTTTACCGTCGATAATGTCGGCTTCGACGTTCGATTCTTCGTCTTGCAAAACGTACGTCTGTAAGTTTAACAATCAAGTTACGCTTTTATGTTGAATGAACTTTATATTTTGTATTTTCTTAGAATACTAATTTTTGTCTGTAGATCATCAATAGTGATAGGTTTATTCAGGACACCTTTTATTTAATTTTGCAATTTACAAATATTTATTGTCAAGTTTTTCATACAAATGTGTATAAACCGCCGCGTCACTACATATAAGGCAGTGTATAATTCATCACGAAGTTTCTACCTTATATAATAATTATTAGTCTTATACTTCACGCATGCATTCATCCCCTTTCACCCTCTCTACTTTTTTTGTTATTATTAATACTTCACAATATACATGTACATAAAAATTCATTCACCCGGCACAATAACGCATTGTTATAATACGTTGCGTTAAAATAAAGCGAATTATGTAAAAGAATACTATTCACAATGCTCTCTGTTGACCTCAGAAATGAATAAAAAGTTGTTTTAAGGACACTTTTTGCAGGCACTAATATTGTCTAGATTAATGAAGACAGTAATAATTATTAAATTCCATCTAACATATTAATACAATGCATCAAGTTTCACTGCATGAATATAATCACAGAAGATAGCCATATAGGCTTTCATATAAGTTTACATTCCTTTATGTAAGGCACATTTTTCAACGACCATGATAAAACAAGTAATATTAAATAAATTCAGTGCCTCTATGGGCATCATAGAAAGTGATTAACACCTTGTACTGTGAATCTTAATATTATAACAAAAATACCACTACACAAAACAGTGGATTCATATGGGAAGCACCGTATTATTTACGATAATAAGGCAGTAGATATGTACTGTTATTACCGTGCATTCAAGCAATCCCGTATTTAGTAGCACATGTGCAGTATTGCACAAGGCAGAATTTTTTAAGCAATTAAATGATATTTCCTATACACTATTGGTGTTTAGTTAAAATTATTTACCATCAATTAGTAAATATATAACACTTCATTACAAAATACGAAGCGTTTATAAATATTTAATTACGTATATGGGTGCAATTGCGGTGGAGGATGCGGCGGTGTGGTAGAATTTTTTTGACTGCTAGATGGTGGAGTTAAAATTCCACTTTCATTCGGGCTCTGTCTACCAGACTCAGGATTCGAGTCAGATTCATTTGTGTCAACAGATGGGACCTCGTCTACTAACCGCTGTTGTGCCCTTTCTAACATATTTAAATCTACTACGTGTGTTTGTATACGATGCGATTCGTCCATTACTATGTTGGGCACTGATGCCCTAAGCCCAGATCCAGAATGAGACTCTACAGGTAGTATGGTAGATCTTAAGAGAAACTGAGAACTTTCTTCTGCAGCTGTTATTGCAAATGGAGTAAGCCATTTGACACAAGGTGCAAGTTGCTCCCACGGAATGCGCGATACTCTTAAAGCACATTCTCTTCCTTGTGTATGATAGATAGCTGCAGCTGCTATATGGCTATAAGGAAATTTTAAACTTCCCTCGTCTAAAGTGGCTAGATCCAGTAGTTGAGCTGCCTGGGAATATTGCAGACCTCCATACTGAGGATAAATAAAGGCATTTGGATTTGACCAATCACCAGACTCAATTTGCATATATATATTAAGCCAACCAGGGGCAGTTACAGGAGATAAATTCCACCCAAGACCTTTCAAAATCACTAATTCTTTTCCTAAAATTTCTTCTTCTGTACATGCACCATCAGTAACATATGCAAACTCTGCAATTTTGGGTGGATATATTTCTTCAACCTGAAAAAAAAAAAAATTATTTTCGTTAGACAATTATTTAATGTTAGAGTTGAATAAAGCTAAAAAAAATGTACAAACCTTGGCAGCTATAAAAAGACATGTGATACCTATCAACTGTAGTTGATTTTTGGGTACATTTTGATGGATGGATAAATATCTGTCTATATAATCCATGGCAAGATAATAAGTCTCTCTATGTAGCTTATATACTTCACAAACTTCAATTAACCAGTCTAATAAAATTGCCCGCATTCTGGGCTGTAATGTTGGATGCCTTTGAAACATCTGTGGATTCCTTTGAATAATTGTTTTCTGATCTCCCAGACACATGAAGGACCAAACTTGATTACCATCAGCCCATGGAAATGATGGTAAAGGGCTAGGTCTATTTGATATATTATTAGATGATGATGGTGTTAAAAAGCAAGTTGCACTTCTTAACTCAGACCATGTGGCTGGCTCTTGCTGTTCTTTCAATGGAGACACTTGATGTGGTGTGCATGAATTTTCTAAAGGATGTACTGTTTGACATGACTCTGGGTATGATGTCTGTGACAGTGCTGGTACTTTATTGGGCGGATATAAATTTTCAGAATCCTCAGAGATTTCTGTTGCACGTCTTTTACGTTTTAAAGATACTGTTGCTGCTTTGCCCCCTTGCAAATAAGTTTGTGACTTCTTTCCCTGTAAACTGTATGAAGGGAAAAAATGATTTTCAATTGAAATAATCAGAGTAACTTTAGATGTTTGATTAAACCAAAGAAACAAGTGTATTAACACTATAGGGTCAAGAAAAATATTTCTGAATTGCTACAGAAAATTACGTTATACAACGTCTAATGTCTTTTAGAGGTCATGTACATCCTATATGACCTTTGTAATTGGCTACAACTATTTATAAATTAATCATAAAACTATCAAGTTAAAATTTGCTTGGCTAATATTTATGCAATACTGCTGGATCTTCTAAAAAGTTAATATTAATTGAAGAAGGTTATACATGCATATTTCTTTCTTTTTTTTTAAATTAGGAAGTACAGTAAATTGCTTAAACTAGTTAAATTAGTCTGACGTATGTTTTAAATGATTACACTAAAATATCGATGAAATTAAATGAAATTTCAAGATCAAATGGAAAGTCGTTCACTCACCTTGTCTGTGGCATCTTGCTCCAGAATTGTCGACGTGTTCAGAAAATATTTCCGTTGAAAATTAATTTTTTTAATTTACGTACTGGTAGATTGGTATTTTAATTAAACGTTTGCTTAATTTCAGAAGCATACGATCAATAATTTAATCAGGAAAATGCCGAAAAATAAAAGAGCGCGCGAAGCTTACACGCACCCGATCGCCATAATGCACGTATACTTGGCTGCTTTTGATTCAATATTTGATGCCATAATTTTTCATTGGTAAAGTGTATTTTAATACGGAAATTTCTTAAAATCTTTTCTAATGTATTTTCAAGCCTCAGGATATCACAGAACAGTAATTCTTCGGAAAAATATAAGACGTGGAACTCGAAGCGCGGGAGACCAGCGCGCGAAACGATGACCAACCCCTGCTTGCAATCTGGCACTGTCACGCCCTCTATATGTATAACATAACCTCAAAGGGGCAAAAAAATTTCCAAATTTCACAGAACAGCTTCCTTAAAGTCCTGGCTGCATACTTTCAATGCATACACGCTATAACTTTCGTGTACGCGTGAGGAATATAAGGGCTATGCAAACGTGGTGCAACGTTAGCGTCCTTTGACAGACGCCTTATTGTCGGTACCCTTTTACTCATTAAGATATTGTAAAAACTTGTGAAAATTACAGTCTGTAAACTAGGAACACTGTATTTTATCGTGGCAATACGATGCATTCACGTTAAAACAGGAAACACTGTGTAAAGATGGTACAGAAATCCAAGGAGTCACAGCACCTACGCGTTCTGCGCATCTCTATTTCCCGCTTAAGTATCTCACAATTTTTTCAAGTAATATTGAAAATTATTATCACCTTTGGATGCACTGTACACGATAAAACGAAAACTTACATAAAATTGCGAAAAAAATATGTATATACACATGAAATAAGGCTTCAAAATTAGGAATGAAAGTTCACGAATTGCTTTCGCGGGAACGCCAAATCAGTGGGCACCGGTCGTGTATTCGAGGGCGCTGCTGTGCGCCAGAATAAGCGATTCTTATTGGTTGACAGAAGGAGCACAGCTGGCGCTCAGCTGATCCGTCGAACACACACAAACGCATTCCTATGCACGCCTGCACTTACGCCCCAACCACGCGGGAAATATGCGCGCGTAAATAGTTTTCCCTTCCAAGTCATGATCATAAACCATAGAAATAAGAAAAAGGAACCTGTCAGATCATTCGTGTTTTACGAATTGAACGCCTTCGTTTGTTCCTTTAAACATATCAATTATTCGATTAATAAATATAAAACTTAACGTTCCTATAATACAATAACGCTTCATTTGTAGAAAATCTTGGAGTACCAATGTATTTATGAATTAAAATATTTTAGAGAATACTATATATTATTAAAATCAATGATACCCGTACGCTGGTAGACTTAGTGGTAACAATAAACAGTACCTGTTTTTATATGAGACTATAATATTCAGAGAAAAACATTACTTATTTTATTAACGAATGTTACCATCAAGCAGAAAAATGATAAGTAGATTACTACTTTTTATTCGTCACTTTTTTATCAACTGATGAATGAAGTTTGTGAAACGATTCATATGCGGCGCTTTATTCACAATCGCAATCAGTAAGGAGTATTGAACTATCTTCTTTATGATGATGCTAGCGTCGAAAACTTTACCGACAGTCCCCAGAAAAATCCCTAGACGCGAGTTCTCAAATTACGTCGTCATTTCTAAACAGAATGCAAAAAAATTTAAGGGACGTGTTCAGGAGGCCCTAAAGAATGGTAGTCTGGACCTTATATTATCCAAATCGTCAAAAAGTTATAAAATATTGAAACAAACAATTGTAAAATTAAAAATAATAATTAAATAATTTTTAATAGAATAATTAAACAAAATTTTGCAATATACCCACGCGGAAATGTAAAGAAATAAACAATTTAAATAGATATAACAACAATTTGGTTAATAAACAATTGTAAAATATAAAATAATAATCAAACAAATATTAACAAATATCAGATAGAAATAGTTAAATGTAACCGGCCGCGGAACCGGTGAAGCGGAACGTCACGCTTGATTGGACGCGCCGCGCGCCGGTACAAGAGCGACCTAGAGGGAGGTCAAATCTAGTCAGTCTTATCGCAACCGCGGAAGGATACGGATCGAGATGTCAAACATATACCGGTACGGGTTAACACTATGGATATTCGTGCATGGATTTATCAGTGTATTATCACAAGTGTTATTGTGTGTGCCTATGGTGTTTCCTATAGTGTTTCCCATGTGTTTTGGAATATTTATAAAGATATATTAGCGCGTTTTATGGTGTAGTCACCCATGTGTTTTGACATTTTTATGCAAGTGCATTAGTGTGCCGTGTGGTGTAGTACCCCATGTACCTGCATGTGTTTTATTGTATTTTATGGTGTGGTTCTCTATGTGTTTTTCCATATTTATACGGATTTATTAGTGGGTTTTATGGAGTGGTACCCTATGTGTTTTACTATAATTTTGCAAATATTTTATGGTGTTTTATGGTTTTAATCCTCATGTGTATTGGGATGTATTTGCATGTGATTTATCGTGTTTTATGGTGTAGTTATTCCCATTTAGTTTTGCATGCATATTTTTGAATTATCCTATGTATTAGCATATTAACCACAACAGATTGAGAGAAAACACATATCGTTCAAGAATCGTGATTTTTATGCTTTCAGATGAGTTCTTTGGCCAGTGGGATACCATTTTTTTGACGATCTATGGGTCAATTTAAGATGCGTGGCGAGTCAGTGGTGCAAGTCAACGATTGGTGAGTCGCATGCTTTAAAGTTCCTCCGGTTCCCATCATGTCGTAGGACGAATGGTCCGTAGCGACACGGGAATTGGTTGTAATTTTTATTTTTTGAGCGAGCATAGTGACCCACGAATATCACTGTATCATTTTATACAATGATAATCGTGCAAATTGGTTTTTTGTGTATTTTATGCCTTAGCTCAGGATAGGGTTTTCTTGTACATATTTACATATATAGATTTCGAGTTTAAAAATGTAGAGAAGTCGGATGACCCTCCGACTTCACAATACACTTTCTTTTTTATATGTACAAGAATTTATTTCGCGATGAGCGGATTTCAATATCAAAGTAATAAGCATGAATACTATTTATTATTATAACTACTTACTTTGATAACGAAATCGCTCATGAAATTGAAACGTTCTTCCGATTTTATTCGTTAAATTGGCATCAATTTAGTATATGGGTTGGCCCCCCCAAGGGAGTGGTCACGTTTACGATTCTCGGTCCTAAATACTCATCATTCGCACTTCATACTCACGAACTCTATCACATAATCATTTATCCACCTGCATACCGTTGTGTAGTGAAATATTACCCCGTTAGGATTTTCAAGTTAAAGTAGTGTTGCGAAAAATTTTCAAGTTTAAGTAGTGTTGCGAAAAATTTTCAACGCGAGAGTAAATATTACCCCGTTAGAATTTTCAAGTTCAAGTAGTGTTGCGAAATATTTCCGGCGCGAGAGTAAATATGACTATACACTGACTAGTATTCGGTGGGAATCCTTTTGGTTTTTATTTGATAAAATTAGTTACAAGGATTCCGCGGCATAAGACCGTGAACACCACCTCATGGGAGATAAAACCATGCATTACTAGGCCTTTTCAGGCACAGCCATAGAGTACGGAACATTTAAGTATGTTGCATCCCATACGCTAAGCTGTCTTAAAGTCCTTTTGCCTATACTATGAGCGTCCATCACTCGAACACGTTGGATGCAACGTGTTCGATGGATGGGTAGCGCTCTTAGCGAAGGGGTGCACCCTGCCTGGGCCTAGAGCCTTAAACAGGCGGGGTGGGTGGTATGTAGCGTCGGGCGTAAGTCCAGGGGGCCTAAGAACCTCCGTTGCCAGCTGATATTAGCAGTGGACGAATGTTTGAGTCATATTTGCTCAATTTTGCTTTTCAGTATTTGCTCTTCAAGCATAATTTAAAGTTCCCCTTTAGTCATGTTGCTAGATCAGGATTTTCTATTTTAATTAGTGTTGCGAAAAATTTCCAGCGCGAGAGTAACTATGACAATGCACTTACTAGTATTCGGTGGGAATCCTTTTGGTTTTTAAACTCAATGTCTTATTTAATTAATTAAATTAGTTACAAGGATTCCGCGGCATAAGACCGTGAACACCATCTCTGGGAGATATACCCATGCATTACTAGGCCTTTCAAGGCGCAGTTTAGAATGTGGCGCCCATCCATAGGTTCCATTTGATAAACTGCAGTCCTTTTGTCTATACTATGGGCGTCCGTCAATCTGACACGTTGGATGCAACGTGTTGGACGGGCGGGTAGCGCTCTTAGCGAAGGGGTGCACCCTGTTCTAGGCGGGGTGGGTGGTATGTAGCGTCGGGCGTAAGTCCAGGGGGCCCGAAAACCTCCGTTGCCAGCTGATATTAGAAGTGCACCATATTTGCGTCATAGTTGCTCAATTTTGCTTTTCAGTATTTGCTCTTCAAGCCTTGTATAATGTTCCCCTTTCGAAATTGAAATTCATTCTGTCACGTTAACGGTTCTCGACCCTAAACACTCATTATTCGCACTTCAGCCTCACGAACTCTATCACATAATCATTTATCCACCCGCATATCCTTGTGTAGTGAAATATTACCCCGTTAGGATTTTCAAGTTAAAGTAGTGTTGCGAAAAATTTTCAACGCGAGAGTAAATATTACCCCGTTATGGTTTTCAAGTTTAAGTAGTGTTGCGAAAATTTTCAACGATGAGAGTAAATATTACCCCGTTAGGATTTTCAAGTTTAAGTAGTGTTGCGAAAAATTTTCAACGCGAGGGTAAATATTACCCTGTTAGAATTTTCAAGTTTAAGTAGTGTTGCGAAAAATTTCCGGCGCGGGAGTAAATATGACTATACACTGACTAGTATTCGGTGGGAATCCTTTTGGTTTTTATTTGATAAAATTAGTTACAAGGATTCCGCGGCATAAGACCGTGAACACCACCTCATGGGAGATAAAACCATGCATTACTAGGCCTTTTCAGGCACAGCCATAGAGTACGGAACATTTAAGTATGTTGCATCCCATACGCTAAGCTGTCTTAAAGTCCTTTTGCCTATACTATGGGCGTCCACCACTCGAACATGTTGGATGCAACGTGTTCGATGGGTGGGTAGCGCTCTTAGCGAAGGGGTGCACCCTGCCTGGGCCTAGAGCCTTAAACAGGCGGGGTGGGTGGTATGTAGCGTCGGGCGTAAGTCCAGGGGGCCTAAGAACCTCCGTTGCCAGCTGATATTAGCAGTGGACGAATGTTTGAGTCATATTAGCTCAATTTTGCTTTTCAGTATTTGCTCTTCAAGCATAATTTAAAGCTCCCCTTTAGTGATGTTGCTAGATCAGGATTTTCTATTTTAATTAGTGTTGCGAAAAATAACGCGAGAGTAAATATGACGATGCACTTACTAGTATTCGGTGGGAATCCTTTTGGTTTTTAAACTCAATGTTTTATTTAATTAATCAAATTAGTTACAAGGATTCCGCGGCATAAGACCGTGAACACCATCTCATGGGAGATAAAACCATGCATTACTAGGCCTTTCAAGGCGCAGTTTAGAATGTGGCGCACATCCATATGTTCCATTTGATAAACTGCAGTCCTTTTGCCTATACTATGGGCGTCCACCACTCGGACACGTTGGATGCAACGTGTTCGACGGGTGGGTAGCGCTCTTAGCGAAGGGGTGCATCCTTTCCTAGGCGGGGTGGGTGGTATGTAGCGTCGGGCGTAAGTCCAGGGGGCCCGAAAACCTCCGTTGCCAGCTGATATTAGAAGTGCACCGTTTTTGCGTCATAGTTGCTCTATTTTGCTTTTCAGTATTTGCTCTTCAAGCATTGTAGAAAGCTCTTCGTTCGTACTTCAAATTCATTCTGTCACGTTCACGGTTCACGATCCTAAACGCTCATCATTCACACTT